AGATTTTAATTGCGTATGCAGCTATCTAGCTATGACACAATATCGGAGAAAAGTACAGAATAGATGATGCAACGTAAAGGAAGAGCACCCATGCCTCAGATTTCATTTGCAAGTACCACTGCGAAGTTATGGTGGCTTCTCCTTCACCCCAAGTCAGCCCTCATTCGTGAATTCCCACCCAGGGGAACGTCTCAAAACCTCTGAATTATACAGACGTACCTCAGTCGTCTATTGACTTGTTTCCGCGTGAAACATGGTCTGGAGCTTCTCCTTCCCAAGTGGAGTGGGTGCCTAGGCTACTCAGCCTACACCAGAAAACACTTCCAGGAGGCGAACAACGGCGTCTTCCATCGTTGGCTTTTATTTACAGTGTCAGCTGCACTTTCGTATTCGAAGGGATGGCGCGCAAAATTCATTTCGATGCGTAGATCGTCTTGACGAAATTCCAAATGTCATATCCGTTGACATTGTAACCACCGTCCGCATCATTTTGTAAACTTGTCCGCATTTGTCCCACGTCCATCCCAAAGAACTGTCTCCCGGATTTGAGTGCCACGCTTTGCTTCCTCCGTCGAGTGGGAATATCGGCGTGTCAGTGTAATTCGTGACTAGCTGAGGCCAGAGAAAGTCGACGAGTGGTGTGATCATTGGAATGAGGATGTACTATGTCGTACTAGTAGACTTGATGAGGCTTAGGTATGAGTCGGACTCTTTGGGAATGAAAAATTGACGTGGTGGAGTCTTTTTGAATCATTGCCTCGTGGGCCAACTTCTTTGATATTGCGAAATTTGACTAAACTTGGCTCTGGGAGAATCTTTCACTCTCATGCTCGTAGAAGATACCGCGTACAGGTGCTCATTCTTTACCCTCCCTTCCTGCTTCTACATCTTAATATTGATTGGCGTCGAAGCGCAACACCGATCAAGTTGTATTTTTGGAAATCTTTAGCCCTAGGCTGAATCCCAATTTAGCAGCCAGAATATACTTGCAAGGGAAGCTAGTTGTAGCCTATATTACCCAGCCTGCCACGTAACCTTCCGACAGAGGATTGAGCCTCCAACAAATGGATTTCTCAAGATGGGTAAAAAGCTGCGAATAATTAGAAGCGCATAATGGTCGGCTCGGCGGCAATAGGTATCGACACGATACTCTCTTGTGTGTGGAGGCTAAATTCAATGTCAATAGAGAAAAAAATTGCCTCACGGCAACGAGCCATGCAGTGTAAAGGATTAATGAATTCAGATGTTCTTGAAAGACAATAACTCGATAGGAATTAATAAATTTTTCCTTTGGAAGACAATCTACCACGTAGTCTTCTATCCCTTACATCCTCTGCGTAGACTAGTCTTATCTCCTCACCTTGGCCACTTGAGAATCATCCTTTCTCTCCGGCTCACCTCTTCTCCTCTACCAATCTCTCCCTCTAGTACATCCTTGTGCGCACCATTCGCATCTCCGGGGGCGCTGCTCTGTCACAGCTTAACCTCAAAGATGGAGTGGTCCTAGTGACCAATCCCAATCCGGGCAAAGCTCGTCGCATGCAGGTACGCCAAACGTGGGGGAACAAGACCAGGCACAAGAAAATGGCGTCCTCTGCTACTCTGGAAGAGAAATTTTCTCTCAGAGTTGAAATCCAGTTACGACCAAGGGTCTCATTGAGAGCTTTTGCCAAGATGGTCATCGAGAGGAGTGATGCTGGCAAGTTTTTGCTGGAAAATTCGACCTGCCGGGATTTCACGACCACGCAACTCAACGATTTTAATCAGTTATACCACAGGTATAAGCCGCAGACAGGCTCAACCCTCTCTGGTTTTCGTATTGAATCAACTGAAAGCCTTCGCTATCGCGAATTTTCCTGCCATATCTTTCCCATTGAAACCCATCCTGCGACCTACCGAAACACTTAATAATCCTAAAGTCATAATCGCAGTCAAAGATACACTTGGACATCCATCTCGTCGCAACTATCGTGCGTTATGAATGCACGGTCAAAGTACCGTCCTTGTATTCGTCTATACATCGGTCAAGAGCACCAGCAAGTCGACCTGCGTCAAAATACGTACGACACTCCGCCAGCACATTGGCTAGGACATTCGACAAAGGACAAGGTTTCTGTGCCTCGGTCTTGATTTTTTTAATCCATATTCAGCCTCCAAGGTAAGGGGTACGGCCGGAGGGATGGATAGTCTTCAAAGTTTCTACGATGGCAATGTCGACAGGAGGGCTAAGGAAAGCTGAAGAGGCCCTGGTTGGAAATTGGATGAAGTATCTAATGAAGAAAACTAACCCTGGATGAGATGGGGAGATGCTGGGGCTGTTCGGAAAGGACTAAATAGAGAATGAGAGGGTATCAAGGGCTCGGGCGCGCGGTGGCTTAGTCGGGTTTCTGGATAGTTGGACTTGACATGTTTAACACATCGGTTAACGTATCAAAGTGGTCCGGTCATTCCGATGAAATGAGGTTTATGTATTGGTGATAGTTGACCTGATCCAGCCCGATCCAACCTGTGCTCAAGCTCCCACCGGAGTGCAGAGGGTTCCAAATGCCAGACACGTTAATATATACAAACCAAACCACAACTGGTCATTTTTTGTTAGTCGGAGAGGGAAGATAATGATATTATGGCGGCTGCTCCAAGTCTGTACTTCAGCGAAAACAAGAGGGTATTACTGCTTGAGAAATTTCGTAACCCGAGGCATAGACAGTAGTGGAGTCTTAGCAGAGGAGATTTACATGTCGCGATATAAGCATAGACTGAGTAGGACAATAAATATTAAACATACACACCTTCATCCGGCAGTCGGGAGAGAGCTAGTCGTCTCAAGTCGCTTCAAGCTCAAGGACGATAAAGCATCAAAATCACACCTGCAGTTCGTCTATCCATAGAGTTCGTGCGGTTTGTCAGTCTATGCTACGCATTTTATTATCCGCAATCTAGGGATGTATATCAGATGGAACTAATCAATGAAGCCTTCGGGTGAAGTTTACATCGACGTACGCCGGAGAACGACAGCTGCAGATTAGTTACCGGCTCCATGTGCGAGAATTGGGATGGAAACTTTCTCCAAGCCACTATCAGTTCCAACCCCATGGGCATAATAAGAGCTCTTCCCGTTGAATTTTCGGTTGGAAGGTGTTGTTAATACGGATCTGGCGAAACCCTGCAATACAAAGATTTGAATCAGTCACGACATGCTATCTACCCAGAAATCTCGAATATAGAGCGTGATTCCCGTTCCTTTTTCCGATGCCACATCTATCAAGGGCATACTAGGGAGCTTTGAGCCATGGAGATCCTAGGGGCTTTGGGGCATACGCTGATTATAGAGGACGACCGGAAGCGTAAATTCAATTAAGACACCCAGCATTATTACACATGATGGAGGCTATGCCGCAGACGATGGGGCGCATAAAGGTGGGAGGATTTACTCAGAGTACTGTCTCCTCCGAGTCATGTTGTATCTGAATGAGCTTCGCAGTGGATGGATCCAACCTACATGATCGGGTAATCTGGATAGGATCTGCAAAACGGTAAGTCACACTTAGTCTTGCATCATACGTCGGTTCAACCTACGAATCGAAATAATAAAGTATCAGAAAGCGGGTTGTGAAATTAGAAGTTCTTCGTGATGACGTATTTTAATCATTCTTGTATTATTAAAATGCGCTTTTCGTGCATGTCTCTGGTTGTTATGTCGACACATAGATCACTTAATATACAGATAAAGGCCAAGTCTTCCTTTGTCTGTTTCATATAAATGATTAAGGTTATATGAATGGTTGCTTTTTGCTGTAGGATTTTTGAATGTTCGTTGCGCATCAATGATCACCACCTGTAGGAAAAATCTCCCGCAAACCCCATCTCTCGGTATAGAGTCTGCAATGATGTGATTGAATCTTACAGCGGCTAGGAGAGATCCTGGGCTTGTTTAATGTGTGGAACTCCTCGGGACCTGGCGTGACTCATCATGATTATTCACGCTAGAAGATTCAAAAGTGCGTAGCCTGTCAGGGTATTGCAGTCAACTCAGAATGATCCACAGCGAGTGCAAAGGGGTGGGCCGGTAAATGGATAAGAAACAGGCTTAACAGGCAAAGGGTTTTTATCACAGCTTCTGTGTGGCTGGTACTAATGCAAGATAGGGGAAGTGCTACCTTTGTCCAACTGACATTTCCAACGTTACCCAATAGTTTACAGGCTAGGTGCTCTTGAACGCAGATTACATTGGAACTTTGAGCGTAGTATCTTGACAATAATCCCGAGGCGAGTCACTTAAAAATCACAATTTTACATGTTGCATGTGGACAGTAGTTACAATGGAGATGGAGTGGCTGTGCTAGGGAGATATTGGCGTTAGTTTTCCCTTCGCTGATGAAGGTCTATGAATTAAAAGCATGAACAAGTATCACGTGGTATGAATCTAAATTTTCACGGCTAATAATAATATGATTCTACTCCAAGTAATGTTGTCTGGCGTTGCAGCCTCCAAGAAAACCATCAAGTTCATTTTAACGATATTTTATGAAGATGTGCGAAGAGCAATTGTACTATCAGATCTCGTCAGTTGAAGTCTAGATATCAAAGCAGAGTGAAAGATCAGGTTTAGTCAGAAGTCCGTTAAGATCATCGTCGCTCCCGCGAGAGCTCCTAAATCAAGAGGTACCAGAAAATGTAAAATAAAGGTATCATCATTTAAGAAGTGTCGAAAGAGAAGTAGTAAAACTCACTGGTGTTATTAAAGTTGGATTTAGTCGGTTTGATAAAGCTATTTGACTTTATTTTATTTTCATCCGAGCATCTTGTACTGATTGTCGTCACACGCCGATTCAAGTTTGGAATAAATAGTAAGTTTGTCGTATAATAAGCTAAGCCTTATTTAGGTTAGGCCCTTCGCTTAGGTTTGTTAATACGCACAGAACAAGCGCACAAAATATCACATCTAAACTCCGATCAGCATTCCAACGCCTGCCAGCACCTAAACTAACCAAATCATCGAAATGGGTCGCCTTCACAGCAACGGAAAAGGCATATCAGCCTCAGCCATCCCATACTCAAGAAATCCCCCGGCATGGTTAAAAGCGACACCCGAACAGGTAGTTGAACAAATTTGCAAACTTGCAAAGAAGGGTGCTACTCCCTCTCAGATCGGTGTCGTTCTTAGAGACTCTCATGGCGTTGCTCAAGTAAAAGTTGTCACTGGTTAGTTCAAAATTCACGACATCTCGAAGCATGACTAATATGTGCACAGGAAACAAGATTCTTAGAATTTTAAAATCTAATGGTATGAAACAAATTTGCACACCTCTTAGAAATTCACCTATACCCACGCCACAAACAATCCAAAATGCCTCTGTTCGGTCACGACTGACAGAGCGATATCTGAAATGAATATCCTACCCCTCTCAAATCACTCATTGACGTTCGTCCTCTAGGACTTGCCCCAGAAATTCCAGAAGATCTGTACATGTTGATCAAGAAGGTAAGTGTTTATCAAGAACCCTTTAATTCGGCTGTTATCTAACTTTCAAAGGCTGTCGCTGTACGGAAACATCTCGAACGTAACCGAAAAGACAAAGACGGAAAATTCCGCCTCATTCTCATTGAGTCCCGGATTCATCGTCTATCTCGCTACTACAAAACTGTTGGTGTCCTCCCTCCAACCTGGAGGTATGAAAGTGCCACTGCCAGTACTTTAGTTTCATAGAGATATTTATAAAAAAACCAATGTTGCGCGGAATTCCAGGGGTAGATTGGGTAGTGGCAGTTAGTCCAGTAATAAAGTTCAAACCTCCAAATAAATAGAACAATTGCCAAACAATTAAATAAATACAATTCCCCAACGATATTATCTTCATATAGTATGTAGACAATAATTCTTGTAGTTATAACCACAGTGTGCTCAAGCTATTAGGTGTTTATATGTTCCTGTTTTCTTTTGACCTTTCGATCAAGTACTCGCCTAGTGATCTCAACGGATTAGAGGGTCTGAAATTTTTAGCATGTTCACTTAATGAGACTCTTACGCATCAAAGACGCGGAAGCAATTACCTGTCTTTCGCTATCATTTTTAGGCCATCCAGTAATACTCCTGTGACGTTTTCATTCAAAAATCTCCTAGTAGGTGCTCCATGAGACGGCGCTTCCTTCGGCATAGTGCTTACTACATCTGAATGTTGAGATGAAGCCCGGACATTAGTATCAGAAGTGGTAGCCCGAGAGGGTAACGCAGGTTTAGTGGCAACTTGGACTGGAGCAGTAGACTGGACAGGAGCTGGTATCTCTGGTAAGATTAGATTCTAAGTGATTTTAGCTTTATAGAAGCCTAGTTGTGCAGAGGTAAAGAGAACTAACCTCCTGCGGCGGAGTGATATTTTCAGACATGATAATATCTCGGGTGTGAGATGCGATAGACACATGGGAAACGGGTGGCCAACCTTCGAGCGACGGCGCCGCAAATGGCATGGTAGAGACAGGACTGGTCTGATTTATGGACAATGGGGCTGGGTGGGATAGCTCACTGGACGCTTCTTCAGGTTGGTGGCCCTGTTGCGCCATGTCGCAATAGAGAGAGATTGAAGGTGAATGGGTGAATAAGCTGCGTCCTAGGTGAACTTGGACCATGGTGCCCAGGGTCCTATGGCCGCAATAGACTGCGTTATGCTTGTCAAGCTAAGCGAGACGTCCAGCACGTGTGACGATCGAGATGCGCATCAAGCAAACCTACGCCACGCGTCCAAGACACGGTTGCCTTGATAAATTTTCCCTTTCGGATCGACCTGTAGTTTGAGTCATGTAGCTACGACGATCCCACGCGATGAACGAAAAAGAACGCCCTACAAAGCGGCTACGATGCAGCAATTCTACCGGCAGCGACAAGGTCCCGAAGGATGAGAAGGGTCATGCGAAAAAACTTGATTTATATGGGCTTGAGAGAGCGAGCGGAGATGAAGGGGAGTTGGATGATGATGAGCCCTCTGCTAACCACCGGACCACTGACTTGGAGAATGCTCTGCCCACGATACCAACGGATGTAGAGACGATTCGTCATTATGAGGCTTTGAGAGGCGACGAATCCTTCCCGGAAGAATTGAAACGGCTTCGCGACTCTGAAACTTGGGTCAAGGGTGAGAGCTCCATCTATGTTGATGCCTTCAACCTGGCCCTCAAGACGGTCCTCGAAGAAGAACATCACCTCTTTACGGCCCAGGAACTGGAAGTGTTTGCCTGCTGGCGAAGCCTAGATTTCGGAGCCCAGTATCTGTCCGTAAGTGTTTGTGCCTTGGCATCATAACTGACTCTCCTAAGCTACGTGCGCTTATTCTTAAGAAAGACTGCCTTATGGCACCGTGTGAGAGCTTTGAGGTACGGAGAAGACATCTCTAATCTCCCATCTGCTATAGAATCACTTCAGCGCTTTCAAACTCTATCCCAGGTTAGCGAGAAGCCAAGCTCTAGCAAGGCTGGATTGCCGGATCTTGAAGAGCTAGACCTGGATGGAGGTTTTACGTGGGCCGACTCGTCTACAACCGCAATTACTACGATGGAAGAGGCTGCTTCTCTTCTGAGTTTAGATGAGCTAAAGCTTGTCTCGAGAGAAGCCAAGGTGTCGGGAAGAAATAAGGCTGAGCTTCTACGCGCGCTCGCGAAGATGAGCAAATCACAAAGCGCCCTCTGCTGGCGCGACTCGAAGGAACTTGAATCAAAGTCACCGCACTCTCCCAAGTTCAATAAATCCAATGGACTCGCGACGGAGGGTCTTGAGGTAACTCCAGAGCAATACTTTTACCAGAAAATAATGACAATTTTAGGGCCCTGTATCAGGCTCTCTCAACCGATCTTGAGACTGTTTGAACGTGTGCATTTAGTTTTCTATCGCTCAACCGAATGGACAGACAAGTCTTTGACGACAGTTATTCTGGCGCGCATTTCACGCCAAAGATTCCCTCGTTACATTGTCTGCCGAACGGCCAATGTATTCTCGTCACGTTCCGATCTTCTGGAATACGAAAGCGCGCTGAAGCAACAGTATCGTTTGGTGCAAATTCTGGAGAAAAACGGACGACTCTCTGATTCTGAGCAAGAGGAAAGTCTCACCATTTTGGAGCAAGTCTATCCTCGCTGGAGAAGACTGGTGGAAGTGGAAGAGAAACGCGAAGCTAGCATTATTGAGGGTGAGAGGGGCGCGTATCTGCGGCGCTTCTCTCCGGCCTGGGTCTATACGCGCATTATTCACAAGATTCTGAGCGTGCTTGGACGTCGGAAGGATTATGATCGAGAGTACAGCATTATAACGGAGCTTCTCGAGCAAACTCTGTTCCATACCGCTCGTCGCGGTGTCTGGTATCAGCGCAAAGCTCTGTTGGAAGAACACTATCTTTTTAAGATAAGGCCAGCATCTGGCATATCGGATATCAATTCTCTAAAAAAGTATTGGAAACGTATGGCGCTGCAGACTTGTGAAAGTGGTCTGCGAGACAAGGACTGCCATGTGATCTATCATTATGACCTACAGAAACGAATCGAGAAACTCGAAAAGAACATCAGAGTACCGAAGAGAGAGAAGCACGATTTTAGTCATGTTCTCCTTCGAGAGGCGAATCATCGGAAAATTGAAGGAGTCCAGGTTGTGCGGGAGAGAGCTAGTACCAAGAAAAGCTTGAGCACGGGTAGTTTGGATGGGGATGGCGGGCAGGGCAAAACGATTTGGATCAACGAATACGAAGACGGCGAAGAAGTTGGTGTCGAGGCGCTGTGCCTGGCTGACTATCAGTCACGCGGATACAAGGGATATCATGCGGAAGGAGGAATTATCCGGACGTTATTTGCTTATTTATTCCGCGATATTCTCTTCATGTTTGTGCCGAACGTCTTCCAGACTGCCTATCAGACTTGTCCGTTGGACCTCCACACCGACGCCTTTTTCCACTCGCGAGCCTCCGAGATTAACCGTCGACTGGTGGAGATTGAGAATGGCGCGGCTGGCGCCATTATTCAGTCGGTGGATGCAGAAGAGCGGGCTAGAGGCACTTGCATTATTGGATTGGATTGGGGATATGAAGTTGCACATCTGCTGGAGATTGCCGAATGCTTTCAAGGGGCGGCGCTAGCCGTCGTGTGTCGAGTGTTGGCTCAGGAGTATAGGGTTAGGGGAGGGGGCGTTCCCGACCTGTTTCTGTGGCGTCCAGATAGACGTGAAGTTGTGTTTGCGGAGGTGAAGAGTGCGCATGATCGATTGAGCGATACGCAGCGGCTCTGGATCCACGTGCTGACGGGGGCTGGACTCGAGGTGGACTTGTGCCATGTGGTGGCGAAGGAGGTGAGAACAAGATAGATTTAAGACGCTTCACCTCCCATCTATCCCTCCATGACGCCGCCTCTGGAAGCAGACGCAAGTGAGGCTGATTTAGTCGGACAAAGAGCGTACTTGCAACGCCGACCAGGCCACGGCCGGCGCTTGGCGCGTAGGACTGCAAGCCTGACAGCTACCAACCCCATTGAGGAGCGGACATAACGATTGAGATACAGGGAGACCACCTCGTGTGCGAGAGCCAGGGTGCGGGTGCGGATGCGACGGACCTTTGTGGCGCCGCGTGGCCCGCAGGTGTTGAGAGTATCCAAGGCCGAGGAGGCTCGCAGGCAATATCTTTTTTGTGTATCATTTGATCTGTGTTCAGCTCGTTAGTCATTAAATCTTCGCGCATGACCTGAAAGGCAGACGCAACTAGACTGGCTGACTTGGTGTGCCGGGTGATTGGAACAGGGCTGAGGCGGCGCGAGGGCCACGCCTACTTCCCGTCGAGGTCGGGTGCGTGCATAGGGGCGCCGCCCAGGCCGCTGTCGGGCGTTGGTATGGCGCGAGCGGCTTGTCCGTTGGTCGGGCAGAGGACGAGTCGCAGGTGGAAGACTCGCACCAACGGGGCTCTGGTGCGCGCCGTCGTATATAGAGCAGCGAGGGGCGAGCGTGGTGCAGGTGAACTGAATCATCCTGCCCTCTGCTCGCGCCCATGGCCGCACTCACTAATCCGCTCACAGCCGCCATTGCGACGAGCGTGCGCGCCTGCCCGCCGCCCTTCCTCGCCGCCCATTACTTTCCGCCCAGCGGCGGCTGTAAGTATACTGCCCGCGGCCGCGCTTCTGCCCGCTGACGCGGCGCCTAGTCACGGCCGGCCGCCTCTGCGCGCGCTCGCTCAACACGACGTGCTGTCTGCCATGCCCGCACGCCGCCTGGCTCTACTCGCCGCGCTTCGAGCGGCGCATGGTGCAGGTGAGCTGGATCAACCTGCCAGGCCTACTATGCGCCCTCTTCCTCGTCGCCTCGCTCGTTGTGCTGCCGGGCCGGCGACGCGCTCGTCACCACCTTAACCTCTGCCTCGTTGCTTCAGTGGCCCTCATGAACGTGAGTCACGCACGTGTGTGTGTATGTGTGTGGCAGCGGCTAACCGGCGCGTAGATCGGCTTCCTCGTCCCGCTCGCGGCCCGGGCCGACGAGTGCCACGACGCTATCACGCCCAACGATATGACGAGTAGTGCCGCTTGCGCTCTCTCCGGCACCCTCATCATCGCTGGAGGCTGGCTCGGCGTCATGTGGGTCGGCCTCATCACGCTCGCCTTGCACCTCCAGATCTGCTGGAACGTCGCCGTCGGCCCCGTCTTCACCCGCGCCACTCTCGTCGCCGGCTGGTCCGTGCCCGCCGTCGCCGTCGGCCTCGCGCTCAAGTTCTGCGGCGTTTCCTTCCGCCTCGCTGCCGGCTGTCACGTCAACGCCGCCAACAGCCTCCCCGTCCTCTGGGTGCCGCTGCTGCTCGTCGCTGCCCTCACCCTCATCGTCCAGCTCGCCACCTTTGCCTACTGCGGCCGCGTCTACTTGGCCACGCTGCGCGCGCCGTCAGTTTCGCCGCCGCTGCCGCACTCCGCGCGCCGGCCCCTCTCGCCCAAGGACACCTACCACCACGTGCGCCGTCTCGTCCAGCTGCAATGGCGCGCCATCCTCATTGTCTCCATCATCGTCGCCGACATCGTCTTCTTCGCCGTCGTCTTCCTCGCCATGAACCGCCTCGAGGCCGCCCTCGCCGCCGCCCACGAGACCGTGCGGCCCTGGCTCGTCTGTCTCATCGCCACCTCTGGCCGCGGCGAGGCCTGTTCCGCCATCCTCCAGTCCCTGCGGCCCAACGAGTCCACCCTCATCTCCGTCCTCGCCCTACTCTCCGTAACCCTCCCCCCGCCCACATCCCTCTGTCCGCGCTGATGCTGTTTCTCTAGTCGAACGGTTTCTGGTGTCTGTTGCTCTTGGGCCGTGCGTCGATGCTCGTCGACTGGTGGCATCTCCTCTCGCATCGCCGCCCTCAGCCCGTCCCCGCGCCTTTCTCTGCCGACCCACACCTCTATGCGGCCCAAGCGCCATCCTTCGAATTGATCGCCGCCCTACCTCATCCCGGAAAGCTCTCATCCGCCTCGCTCTTGCCGTCGCCGCCCGAACCCGCCCATCACCAGCACCAGCACGCTCTCCTGATTCCCCACTTGCCATGAGTCTCTCCTACATGGCCACCTGTAATGAGAAGAGAATCTTCGACGTGCCTAGAGACGCTGAAGGTGCGAAGAATGTAGAGAGGCGGGACCAGGTCAATTGTATCAAATGTATTCTACTGCAAACAGCCAGCCTCCTCCAAATCCGTTTGTACAGAGTCCAGAGTGCAGCGCACCTAAAGTATCGACAAACTGCTAGTCTTAGTTGAACTAGTCGCAAAACAACGCCAGAATATTATTATCTTCACTCAACCACGTCGGGTCCCCTAAATTTCCCTTTGCCCATAACGCGTGTCTGCAGGCCCATTAATGACTAGGCATTATCTCCACCTTGCATATCACCTACACACATAAAATGCCTTGACCCCAGACAATCTCCTCGAGTAATCCCGGCCTCTGCATTCTGAGTGCATGCCCTATGCCCACCTCTGTTCTCATCTCACCCATTCTCTCACCATCCATCCACAATCTTCGTCTTGACAAATAATCCCCGACCAAGCTTTGATGTCACTCCACCCTTGATGACCAGGTTATCCTCTATTAATTCGCGTTCGTCGTTTAGCTCAAACTCAAAGCGTCCAATCCACGCGGCCAATAAACACGCAAACTCAGCCTTTGAGAAGGCTTGTCCAATGCAGCCTCGGGGTCCGTGAAGAAAGGTCAAGAAGGAATAATTACTCGCAGCACCACCGTTGGCAGGATATGGGTTCGTCTCGCTCGGAAGCCAACGTTCAGGGTCGAATTTCTGAGCGTTGGGTCCCCATAACTCTTCGCACCGATTAATAGCCAAGGGTGAGATGATGATTCGTGTTCCCTTTGGAATGCGGTGTCCGAGTATGCTGGTGTCAACAATAGCATCGCGCATCGTCAGCCCAACGGGTGGGAAGTAACGGAGAACTTCATTACAAACGGCGTTTAAATATGGCATGTTATCAATCTGGTAACTCGTGACAGTTTCTACTGAATTCAGCGGAGGTAATGTGGCGCGAATCTCGTCGCGAAGGCGGCTCTGAACGGATTGATGGACACTAAGTAAATATATCGCCCACGTCATGGCTCCCGAGGTAGTTTCGTGGCCAGCGGCGAGGAAGGTCATCATTTGGTCAACGAGGTTCTCTTCCGAGAATCCACCGCTCTGTAGAGCGACACTTAGAATGTCGTAATCAGTGAGCTGGTTCTTCTCCGCCTTTTCCTTCTTTATTCGAATCATCTTTCGACAGATATCCCTAATGACGGAAGCAGCTGCCTCGATATCTCCATTTCGCTTCATGGGCACACGACTTACGAACCAAGCAGGTAGAAAATTGTTCATCAACCCTAGAATCTGGGCTTCACGACAAGGTTTGAAGACCTTACGGTAGGTTCGATTGAGCTCAGTAGTTGGGTCACGCACAGCCTGAAAGTCCTGGCCCATTCCGGCGACCCCGATAATATCGAGTGTCGCTCTACTAGCCCAGTCACCAACTTCAATGACAGCTGGCGAGTTGGCCTCGGGCCTCGGTCCACTTTTTTTCTGGAATTCGGGCAATTCATCATATGCGATGCCACCGGCGCGGACCTCGGCCGTCATAGCTTCTACGACTTCGATTGACTTCTCCCAGAAACCCGGGTAGAGATTCTTGATGTGTCTGAATGCAAAGGCTGGTAAGAGATTGCGTCTTTGTCGCTTGTGATCCTCGCCTTCTGCTAATAAGACACCGATACCGAGGAGGCGGCCGAGTCCTACAGCGACGTGCACTGGCTTGATGAAATCATAATTGCGTGTGGATAGTACCTCCCTCAGCGCGGTGGGAGATGTAATGAGGACACGCTCTGAATTAAACATGCCCAGATACCGCATGATGCCATCGTTGGGGACCTTGTGGATCCTAGAAACGGTTAAGATGGGTTTTGAGGAAAGATTTTGCCAACCTACCATGAGACCATAGGCTTTCCCGTAGGATACTTTGCAATGGTGGGATACTGTCCATTCCACCAGCTGCCTCCCTCTGGACTAGGCAGATACCTTAGAGGCGATGTGAATTTGGGGTAGACGATAACCTTGCACACTATCCAGATGAAGACGTGAACAATCCAGGCGAGGATAAAGTTTCTTGTGTAGGCAAATAGGGCATGCTGATCCGGTAAATAGGCAGCGATAATGTATATCGAGAGGGCAGATGAGGCTGTGATTAGTTTAAGTGGAAAGTTTAACATGGTCGGTGTGGTAGCCGCAGCGGCGGTTCTGAGCGAGGGATGGTTCGTGTGGTCTCGAGAGGAACGGCGAGCAGTAGTGGAGTGGGAAGAAGGCTTGCAGGTTGGGTGGACCACGCAGATGATATAGCAATGACGTGGGATTCTGGCTGAGCTTCAAGAGATACCAGCGGCCGAATAGAGTCGTATGAAATCCATCTGGGGAAGACATCGCGCAATCATATACACCATGCGTGATCGCTGTAGCGAGGCTGAACATGGTCTAATCGTGGCACAGAATCGACTAAGAGTTGTCATGGTTGCACCCGGCAAGTTGAGCTGTACGGCCGACACTAGTGGCCTCCCCCTACGTCTCCACTAACCGGGCTAGAGACGCCCATGTAATGCGAATCAGTGGAACGGGACTGCGGCCATCATTCAATGAGTACGGCTAGCGTCTCGTAGGAAGTATAAGCTACACATAAAACGAGGGAGAGGACTGAACACCGACCACATCTTGCTTTCGTCCATGTCGAAGTCAGGTCTCATGCCACTTCCAGTAGTCTGGTTGTATCTTTGCACCAAGCGGCATGCAGAGACCGGTACTGGAGGCATGCTGTTTAGCCCCAGGCATTCGCACGGAGTTGCTGGACAGGTATAACTGCCGGCCGCTAGCAGGAGTTGCGGTGATAGAGGTCGCAGGCGATGCAGCGGAAGCGATGCAGATAATGGTGGATGTGGAGGAGTTTGTGATAGTAGGGGGCGTAGTGTGGACAAAGTCTCGCGTGAGAGACGCACCAGGCCACTGTCTGTGCCCCCTCCCCGTTAGACCGAAATGGGACAGGGCCGGCCCAACCCTTCTCGGACGCATGAGACTGTGGCAGCGAGTTTCGTCGGCCCACCAGAAGCCGCTGGTCTCGCAGCGCCGTGCATGTCACATCTGCACTCGCGACGCTCAAGGGAAATTTCGTACGGCTTCGCGAAGATGTCGCGCGCGCGTCACATTCAGCAGCGGACAATTAAGCAAAACAATCCAGGCGTATTCGGCCGACTGACCAGCCGCTGCCATTCAGCCGGTTCTTCTGCAGATAAAGTGGGCAAGACGTATGCGGTTTCAGAGCGCTGACACTCAGCTCGCTGTACCGCTGGCTGTCCCTGACTCGGCCGGCTGTCTCTTCAGCTTCTGCATGGACGGCGCATCCGGCTCTCCCATTGTACCTCCATCACATGTGAATGGGGCCACGGATACTCACAGTATAATCTCGTGGTGCCCGCGAGTCCTCACGCCCTCGGCCGTCCAGGATCCTCGTGGATTTGGACCTCGTTGATCCAAGTTGTCGAAGTGGCTAGTATCTGACGAGACCCCCGGTATCCCAGAGCCCCGGGCCCGATAGAGCCATCAGCGCCCTCGAGTCCAAGAATCCTCTCGTGCGGCCTCTACGGGCTAGCGCGTGATCCGGAGCCATGGCCTATTTGTGGCCCGACCGCTCACTAATCTGACGGGCCAGTGAGCGCGCACAACATTGTCCCCCCCAACTTAGGGCCAACGCTCATGGCTCGTATTTATTTAAAGCTCACAAGCTAACGCCAGACTCCACTTGGGAAGGAGACATCTCAGATTACATTTCGCGCGGAGAAAAGTTGAAAGATGACGGAGGCATGTCTGGATAACTCAGGGTTTTTGAGACGTTCCCCTGAGTGGGTATTCACGGATGAGGGTTGACTTGGGGTGAAGAAAAAGCCACCATAACTTCGCAGTGGTACTTGCAAATGAAATCTGAGGCATGAGTGCTCCTCTTGTAAATTGAGTCATCATTCCTGTACTTTTCTTTGATATTGTGTCATAGCTAGATAGCTGCATACGCAATTAAAATCTGATGCAAAAAAAAAAAAAAGCTAACGCCAGCGAGCTCCCCGCCAATCCAAAAACGTAATGGTCTACTGGGACAAAGTATAGAGTAGACATGGTCTTAATTTCGTCGCACGGTCAGTCTCCTACTCTGCCCATGAGGTTGCAGTGGAGGAGTGACCGTCGGAAAATATCTACTTGTAAAGCTCATCTAGCTACCATGTCTTTTCGCGTTGGACTCCCTACTTCGCTGTTGTCTTCACTAGTTCCGTACGCTGAATCATCAAAGTCAATATCCCATTCCACATCGTCTTCCTTATTCTCTTCGGCCCCATCCCAGCCCTTCTGGGCAGCACCCCGTGTATTCCACTTCAGCGATGTTGACACACTGTCAAACCATTCGTAGCTTGACTTCATTACAGTTGGAAATGGATACTGCGATGCACTGATAGTCACCGAATCACCTTGTTTGAGCTCGACGCGCCCCTTGCCGTCAAAGGCGCAATAGGCCGTTGCCCGGGAGTTTGTAGGTATGGCAACACGCAGTAGAAGTGTATCCGATAAAACCATGGGTCTAAATGACAGTGTATGTGGGCAGATAGGTGTTAATAAGATAGCCGGAATGTCGGGATGGACAAGTGATCCACCTGCTGAGAGCGAATATGCAGTCGAGCCAGTCGGCGTCGCGAAAATACACCCGTCAGCCTGTACTACAGTAAGAAGCTCATCATCTCCGTAGAGTTCAAGATTAGAAACATATGGAGATGGTCCACGGTCAATCACCAGTTCGTTGAGAACCTCATACTGCTCGTCCACGTCATCTTCGCCGGAATCGCCCTTGTGAACAGTGCAAGTGAAGCGCATACGCATGCTCACCCTCATACCATCGTCACCCATCACTTTATCGAGCTGGGATTTAAACTGATCAAATTCAAAGTTTGTCAAGAATCCCAAGCTACCTAGACTGAAGGAAAGAATAGGAGGTACGATGCGTTGGAATAACCACGATGTGAAGAGCACGGTTCCATCTCCGCCCAAAGTGATGACTAGATCAAATCTCTCGGGCTCGTTTCGACACATTTCAGGTTTCCAGTATCGCAAGAGCCGTCCAAACCGAGGATTTGATTGGAGAATGTGACTTGTACCGAAGCGTTTGGAGTTTTCCAGCTTAGCATCAACGTACACAGTGACACCATAATCTGATCCGTATCTTGGGGTACCCATAAGCCACACAGCCAACTCACGAGTCAGATTTACGAGGTGATTATCTCGTGCTTTCGTTACGATCATGACTTTTTTGACTGCTTTTTTAATTGGACGACGTTGTAGCTGCTTCGATATTTCTCGTACTCCAGTCGCAGTTGCTATTAAGCGTGAGTGTGAGAAAGACGCATTTTGCTGGATTTCTTCGAGAACTTTATCAATATTCAACACATCATCGAACCTTTGGTGGTAGAAGCATGGTGAGTTTAAGCTTGTCAATGGCGCAGGTGTCATTGGTATAGCATTTATACTGGCCAGGTCTGTTGCCGCGAATGATGATTGATTGGGTGGAACTGATCTGGCGGTCTTAAGGACTTGCTTATTTCCGGGAAAGGTGAGACTCTGGGGGACGTTGGCCCGATTATTAGAGAGTGCCGATTGGATTGTTCTCGTTGATAGACAAGCTGAATCAATAGAAGGATGTGAAGTAGTCGGCGAAGAGGCTGGAGTCCTAGAAGTAGTATCACTGTCGAGAGCAAATGAGACAGAAGTGCGGGGTTTATGGATTCCGATAGGCACTGAAGTAGCCTGATGATGCACCAGTCGGTGATCGACGCCGATAGTCCTTGTTCCAGCGTGGACAGAGGTTGATGATGATGGATTTTCCATAATTTCTATTTATAGCTTGGAGCGGATCGGAAGTCGGAAGATGAATATCAACAAGGGGAGAATTGACGAGTTTTATTGGAATTACGTTATCGCTGTAAGTTACGTGACAGACTGAAACGTGCAAGATCGGAACAAATTCAGCGTGTGATGAGAGGGGTTGTAAGGAAGATAAATGACAGAACTTTGGGTTTCTGTGAAGTCTAGCCGTACCGGAGGGTGCGTGGATATCTAAGCACAAAAGGTTCTTAGTCTCTATTATCTCAAGGCTTCCTCAAAATCGATTTTCGTTTAAAGGGCGCAAGTCTTACCAGCAACAAGAAAAATCTGACTGATTGATAAAAGATCACTTAAATGTGGAATTCGTCGAGGACTGCGGGTGAACAAATGCGGCTCGGTCTCTTTTCCGAGATGTGGCGAATGTAATCTATGTAATCGAGAGGAATAAGCAACAAAGGAATGAATGAGCTGAGGGTGAAAAGAAAGAACCGAGCTGAAAACTACCCGAGCCTGTCGGTATCTGTAGCAAAGTGTGAGAGTGAAGGAGGAAAGCTAAAGAATTGATGATAGTGAGGAGAAACAGAGCGAACTGAAGTGGCTTTATGGATGAACAACTTGTTTGGAGTCTCGTGCCTCTTCAAAAAGAATCGTTCGATGTCCGTCATATTTTTCCTCGGGACACGTTAAAAATAGCCCTACCCTTCCATTTACCCAGGTTGACCTCATAAGTGTGTCAAACAGTGTATTTCACACTACTTAAAATCACTTCCCTTGAATTAAATCGTCAGGGACGAGGTATTAGTTGATTGCATAAGGGTGGATGGGACAAGACCCCAACCAGAACATCTGAATCGAGACTCTCGCCGAGACTGAACCCTCCAAACAATGTAGCTACAGTCGTCAGTCCCACTTAGTCATTTTTTAAGTCGGGCAGCGGTTTGAGATTGGTTGTGCTCGAGTCTGCGTTATTTGCTCAAGTGATCCACCTGCTTTTAGGACCTAGGATGCGGGTCAAGACCTTTTGGCCAAGTAGTTTGGCTGATTATCTCCCGCCCGCCACACACACATACATACACATAGTATTCCAGAGACGTTTGAGAGAGTTTTGTCCGTCTGATAAACTAGTCAGTCCTGGATGCCTAAAGTTCGTAGGCCATACATGAGACGTAGCTATAGCGTTTCGACGATTCTTGGTAATAACATTGAGAGCCGTGTAGAGAACAAGACCATGTAGTTCGGCAGGGAGTGATGGGACGGGTAACACGATTAAGTATTGGGTGAGTTACGTGCTTGTTGCTGATTAATACTGAGGTTGTGAGTATGGAAAAGAGTATTCTAAACTAGATGTAGAAGTAGGAAACGATTCCAGATTATCAGAATAGTATCCCGCGTGTGAGTGCTTCATCCATGCAAGCCTATCCTCAGACTTTGCATCTCCAGGCTCGATCGTCGAGACCTTTTATCCAGAGATAGACAAAGTAAGAGCCCTTGATATTGCTCCGGACTGATTTGATCAACCAAACCTTTTTTCTATGGTCATCGGTACCAAGGGATGAAGTTCTTCAGTGTTCGGGCTGGTGTTTAAATGCCACAGACACGTTAGGACTCGGCACTCCCATAGATTATCTTCAGTTTTAGCTCAACTTGCTTAGGTCACGTTGGCTGTACCTCCGCAAACTAAACTAGAGACTGAAATGGTCCCCCTCACGTTGAAAATACTTGCCAAACCCACTATGTCCTTAATTTGATCTCATCTAGTTTTAGTAAATCTCTACGCTGTTCAACTAGTTGTGTTGAAGTGACTGGATAACGATACACATGTACATTTTGATCAGTACCAGCATCAGCTAGAAACTAAGCGGCTACAACTATGCAGAGAAAGACACCTTTAGTGGTCATTTTCGATTGTACGAGCGGATAGAGCGCTACCTCTCTTGGATCTCGACGTCTACGAAGTTACATAGATGATCTATTAGTTTTTCATCAGAGAACTGACTTGTGGGTGGATCCAAAGAGTATTAGCAAATTATGATTCAATCTAGCTTTCATAAAATTCTTAATTATGAATCCGTGATGATCTGCTGTGCGCCACGATACGCTAGCTGCTAATCGATCGAAACGGGGCCACATACCCCGCACGTCGTCTCCGTGAACAGCACGTGACCATTCACCGCCAGTTTGAGTAGAACATGGAGCCCGGCAAATGTAATACAACCGCTTGAGTCGAGAGAACAATTCTTAACATGAATCAAAACAGTACAACCCAGTCCAAATCTAGGCTACAGTGGGGAGCGATGAGATGGGTTGCCCTGACTATTACTATGGACCCTATCGCGATAACGAGAAGGCGGCGTTTGCCCAAACGAAATGTAAGTATTCCCAACGCACCAATTACCAAATTGTTAAAGATCATTCTTCATGACACAAATCAATCATCAATTTGAGAAAGGAGAACTCAAATACAATCATATTAATTCACGCACAACACCAAGCGCTAAATCCTCTGCCTGATGCACCGTCTTAGAGTTCCGGATAACTTAGTGATAGGTCACCTCATTTACCTCAACTCGGAATTGTGCAAGATCTTATGCGATTGAAAATAGCGTATCTGGGAGTGGGAAATTTAAAAGAGACTCGTGCCGATATGAGCAATGCACAGAAACTTAGAGAGCTACAAAGATAGGCATGCGCTGCTCGAGGCATAAATATACCCGGCCTGTAGCCAAAAGGGATCGGAAAGAATTGACAAGGTTTTACCCACAAATGGACACTAAAAGGCCCCTAGTTTAGCATACCTTCATGACGGGTTAATCTTTGCAAATAAAGTAGAAGTTTCCTGTGGCAGATACAGCAAGCCCAGGTATGATGGTTCCCCCAAGGTCGATCTAAGCCTCGATTGGGGTTATACACAACAATTTGCTGCAAGTACGAGATCAGTGATATCGGCCATGCAACCTACTCCAGAGAAGTTAAGAAGTCATGGTTATCTGCAGCACGGATTTAGCCCTTTCTAACTGGTGTCTGAGTCGGCTGCATGACTGCATCACTTGAATCGGAAAGCTTCCATGGCTACAATGTGCACGGTGTAAATGTACTAGATGAAGAGGAAATAAATGGGCCAAACTAAAATCTGCCCTTGGCCTGATGCTTGAGATAGAGGGAAAGAATAGTTTATTTAGTTGTGATATATGACCAGTGTCTAGTTGATGTTAAATGCACCTTTGTACTTAGGTCACACACTCGCGCCGAGTTTGATTCGTAGAGACCCATGAAATGCGTTTGCACACCCCATATAGCTAGACCTCATTTGAGAATTTCCACCAAAAGGAAGTATCTAAACCTCTGCTCATCTAAAGCAAACTTTCGTCATACTGTAAAGGGTCACGGATCGGAATAAAGTTAGGTCTGGCCGGGATTGAAGCAGCGATGTCTATTTTGAGGGGGCAGGGTGCGCAAACAAAGCAGACCCCATCCAAGGGACGGGTCCGGATGACAATAGACTGCACCGTGCAGCCTGACTATGAGAGTCACCAAGGCTCTTTCGGAAAGAAGACGGAGTCTAGTCGGGAGCGACAACTGCTGGCTGTCCATAATCGCATCAGGCCAGAAACCATTACCCATGAGGTTACTGTAGCAACAATTTTTACTTCCCTTCCAGCTCTGTTCCAGCCCGACGCAGGCGTTCCAAAGACAAATTTGTCGGCTATTCTTTAGGACTGAAGCTGCGTCGTTTGAGGATGTTACAGAGACCTCTAGCATCCAATCGAGCACGACAAAGAGTAACTCATGTTGTGCCACTGGCGGGGATCTCTTGTCTCAGCTTAGTGTCTATGACATTTGCATTCAGGAGCTCGACAGTTGCAGGGGTGGGAACTGGCATGGAATTTGACTGCGCGGTGTCGCGCATTTCCGGGCTCACGGAATTGGGTACGAGTGTTTAGATTGATTCAGACAAGGCTCTCTCATGGCAAGGACAGCGAGCAAGATAGAATCTATCAACTCAACGCGCAGCCGTTGTTGGTTGATTGGTTGGCACTAGGCAGGACGTTACCGCTTGAATATGGGGCTACCAGAGAGCTGAGTGACCACAGAAAAGTTAGACGACGATTGCCTTGGATATATTGAATCACTAACATGTGAGCGGTAGGCGCGCGGTATGGTATGCTGAAGGTAGGATCTGGCAGGATATATATCCAAGACAGGACCAATATCTTTACATAATCCTCTTCCCAAGCCCAGATCAGGTTAAGGAACGGATGAGACACTCTTCGCCATGCCTGATCAGAGTACAAGCCCAACTGCCGCATTGGTGAGGTGTGATGGAGTGACATCAAGTGATTGTCGGAGATAGACGCCGGCGAAACAACATTCACGGTCTCAAGCTTCGCCGCGGCAGATGGGTCGCACAGAACATTGCTTGCAGCTCAAAGTCCCTAATGGTCATCGACTACTTCCGAAGCCACCGGGCTCTGAACACAACTTCATCTCCATGTCCAAACAGGCCAGCGTCCCTCGATACCAAGGGCCAGGCGAACGGTGTCAAGAATTCGGGCGGAAGCCAATGCACTGGCACTGTTATGAGAACTGCTGGGGTAAGTGGACGTTCTCAGCAGCGCCTGGAAGACCATGTTGTCGTGCGTAATGGAGCCGGTGGTCGTTGGAGCGTGGTACTGTGGCAGCCGGCCGTGACCACGACCATGCCGAAAGAACTGACCATCTCATTCAGGCTCACAGAGTAAGCTCACATAATCCCTTGCTAAAGTAGCTCGTCCGTGGACCTGCCCTTCGCCGCGGCTTTTCGAGCAGCCTGAAGGACTCTTCATCGTTCACACCTGGAGTCTCAACTCGGCCCTGAACGATTCGCTGACCCGAGGCCGCTCTTATATACACTAAAACTCAAATGGTTGCTAGAGTTTTGTGGTTTTACGATACTTCTGCATGAAATTTCGATTAAGCCATGAGAAAATAAGCGTCAACGCCTGTCTATCTTTCCATCTATCAAA